AGACCAACATGGCACATGTTGTGCAGGTAACAACAGCAGACCTATCACTATCCATACCTGCCTTCCTTTGGAGAGATTCCTCAGATATTTTTAAAATGCCTCCTTGAAGGGCAGAAGAGAAAAGAAAATCAAGGAAAAGAGCATTCAACACTATGGAGCTCCCACAGGATGAACTCCCCTGTTGGCTGCTGCCCTGTTCGCTGCTCTCTGTGTTTGCTCTTGCTGCCTTTTTTATAAGGCTGAGGCTAGGCCCGGCTGAATGCCTTGCCTCTGATGAAATCAGGCCCTTAAGGCCCACCTGAAACAAAGCACTCCCAAATCACACTTTTCAAACTTTCCAACTGCTGCTTTTTTCAAATTGTGAAACACACAGGCAAACAAATGCTCAAAGACAGACAAACAATTTGATGCTCACAACACAGCTCCCCAAAAGCTAAACTTACCTGAGCTCCTCTCGGAAGTTTCCTAGGCAAACTCGCCTGTTGGCTGCTGCTCTCTGCTTCCGTTCTGGCTCACTTTTTTATAAGGCTGAGGCTAGGCCCAGCCCAAAGCCTAGCCTCTGGTGCAATCAACCCCTGAAGGCCCACCTGAGCTCAGGAAGTTTTGATTATACTTTAGTGTAAAGGTTTTAAAGAATGGCAAGTGTACCTCACCCCCTTCCCACTCCCGTTCCAAACTCCCTCTCAAAACTCCGATAGCAGCCCCTGTTCTCAAAGAAGACCTACCCTTCAATAAGACCAACCTCTTTTCTGCAAAAATGGTTGAAGTACTTCATTCGATGGAGGACTCCTGCACCACCCTCCGGACCCTGGGGAAGTACACGCCCTCATTTAAGAGAGCCAGATACAATTACCAAAGACCCAGGGAGTCATCTAGATAGCAACCAAGATATGACTTCTGACAAAAGCAAAGACTCCAATGATACAGCTCAACGCCAACAGCAACACTGAACAGGGGCAGCCTAACCCTCCACATCCAAACAGCAAATTTGAAGGTTCGGTCGGAAGCCAAAAAGAAACTCTCCTTGTGGTTACTCCATCAACCATTTGCAATTCAATCACCACCTCCACCCCTACCTTCAACAGTGGGCTCAAATGACATTACAAATGGGTCCTAGAGCTCATCCACTATGGTTACTCCATCCCTTTCATTTCTCTTCCCTCTACCCATCCTCGCTACCCGTCCCTCTTCAGGTATCCCTCTCATGAGGCCCTCCTCGAGCAAGAGGTGCTTAACCTCCTCCACCTAGATGCTATAGAACTGTTACTAACAGAGTTCCACAGCCGAAGGTTTTACTCAGCTTATTTTCTGACAAAAAAAGAATGGAGGATGGAGGCCCATTCTAGATTTACAAAAGCTCAACAAGTACATCACTTAATGATTCAAGATGGTGACCCTAGCAACAATAGTGCCAGCATTGGATCAAGGAGACTGGCTTTTGGCTCTTGACCTTCAAGATGCATGCAATCACTGTTATCAAGATGGATAACAATCCATCCCACCCACAGACATTTTCTATGATTCACAGTTGGCAGTCATCATTACCAATACCGAGTGCTCCCTTTTGGATTTTAACAGTCCCCAGGGTGTTTTCCAAAATGCTAGCCATTGTAGCGGCATGCCTACGTTGTCAGGGAGTCATAATATTTCCATACTTAGATGACTGTCTTATTAAAGGCACATCTCTCCAAGAGACAAACACATGACCAAGACTACCACGAATCTTTTTCTCCGCCTCGGTTTCAATATAAATTATGAAAAATCCATGCTCCATCCTATATAGGCGCTGGAATTTATAGAAGCACAGATCGATACCATCGTAGCCAAAGCAACTTTGCCCATGCACAGGTTCAGCACCTTATGCAACCTCATAATGGTAGCAAGAGCGACCCTACCACGACAGTTCACGAATGCCTAAAAATTTGGGCCCCCGGGCCAGCCACAACCTACATTGCCAGTCTGGCGAGGCTCCACATCAGATGCCTTCAATCTTGTCTTGCCACATTTTACACCCCATTCAGAGACCTGCTCTCCAAGTCAGTTACCATTCTGCCATGGGTCCTCAACTCTTTGCACTGGTGGACGAATCCACACAATGTTTTAACTGGCGTTCTATTTCATCAACTAACCCCTACACTTAGTGTTACGACCGATGCATCACTCATGGGATGGGCTGCTCACCTAGAAGCCCTCACAGCCCAGGCAAATGGTCCTTTGCAGAGCAAACCCTCCATATCAACCTTTTGGAACTGAGCACAGTGCAATATGCATGCCAGCATTTTCTACACTACATAGCTCCCAAGACTGTCAGCATCATGATGGACAATACCACTTGCATGTGTTATATCAATCGGCAAGGTGGTGCACGATCGCCGTCCCTATGTACAGAGGCGCTCAAGCTATGGAATTTGTACCTGGCATACCAATTACCCCCATTGCCACGTAGCTCCCAAGGGTGTTAAATGTGACAGCAAATGCCCTCAGTCGCAAGTTTTACAACCACCACGAGTGGGAGATGGGGATGCACGCCCTCGGTTATGTGTTTCGTAGAGGGGGTCAACGAGAGACCTTTTCGCGATCAGGAATGATTGCAAATGCCACCTTTACTGCTCCAGGGCAGCTTTAGGAAAGTACTCCCTGAGGGATGCTTTCGTCATCAAATGGGACGCACCGCTACTCTGTGATCCCATCCCTTCCCATTTTCCACAAGGTCAGAATCAAAATCAGAACAGATCGAGCTCACGCGATTCTCATCGCACCAGAATAGTCGAGACAGACATGGTATCCATACCTCCTCAGAATGACAGTCATAGATCCATATGCTTTTCCGCCTCAACACAATCTTCTCTTCCAGAATCATGGCAGAATTCTCCACCCTAAACTGCACAAACTCCACCTCCACGCTTGGCTCCTTTATGGCTCCAGGATCTGAGAACACGTGCTCTGAAAGAGTAAAATAAATACTAATCAACAGCAGAAGAGAGTCCACCAAAAAAACGTACCTCTACAACTGGAACAGGTTCGCCCAGTAGGTTAAATGTACTCATAATACTATACCCCCTGAGACCACCTCTCTCCCCCTCCTACTGGATGACCTCTTGTACCTTAGGAAGTTGGGCGGCACTGGCACTAAGTGCTATCAAGGTTCACGTGGCTGCTATAGCAGCCTAATCGCACTACTGAGGATGATTCTTTCCTTTCGAACCCAATAACCAAAAGATTCCTCACTGGTCTACAAAACACCTTTCCATCCGTTCGCCCACCAGTTCCTATCCAGGGACCTAAACCATGTACGCAAGAGCCTGACGAAGCCGCCTTTCGAGCCCTTGGCAACCTGCCCTTGGTCATACCTATCTATGAAAATATACTTTCTACTCACAATAATCTTCAGAAGAATAGTGGGGGAACTTGCCACCCTAATGGCAGACCCCCCATACAATTTTCACCAAGGACAGGGTGACACTTCGACCTCACCCCAAATTTCTCCTGAAAGTTCCCTCTCCCTTCCACATCAATGAAACAATACACTTACCTGTGTTTTTCCCCAAGCTGCATGCTGATCCATTACAAGCAGCATGGTACACCCTTGATGTCCGCAGAGCACTCGCAGTCTACATTGATCATATGAGAGCCTGGCGAATATCTCCTAGACTCTTCCTATCCTTTGCGGAATGATCCAAAGGGCAGCTGTCTCTTCTCAAAGGATCTCCAAGTGGATCTCTTCAGGTATCCACAACAAAGAACTACCAGGCACCATCATGGCCCATTCCACCAGAGCTGTGTCCTCTACAACTGCTTTCCTTAAAAATGTACCTCTACAGGACATTTGCAGTGCAGCCACTTGGTCATTACATCACACATTTGCACAACATTACACTCTTGCATCCTCCATAGAATCATCCATGGCTGTTGGACACGCAGTATTATCCTCTGTGGCAACACCAGGACTCCAAACCCGCCTCCTCGAGCTGACTACTGCTTTATAGTCACCCAGAGGGGAGCATCCACGGGGACACTACGTGAAGGAGGAGTTACTCGCCTTGTGCAGTATTGGTGGTTCTTCAAGATGTGTGTCCCCGTGGTGCTCTACTATCTTCCCTCGTTCCCCTGCTTTGGAGCCCCATGTTCTACTAGCACGGATACAGAAGAAACAGAAGAAGCCACATCGCGCACATGCCTAACAGACACCAACGGCATGAGGTGGTGCGGTGGACACTGCTTGAAAAATCTCCGGTCGCTGGTGCAAGGACATACCAGCACCCAGAGTGGAGCATCCACAGGGACACACATCTCAAAGAACCCCCGTTACTGCACTCTTTCTTCTTCTTCGAGTGAGTGATGAGTGATGCTAGGTGCTCTACTGTTGGTGTCAGGCTCGTCCTGGTGCCACGGATCGGAAACTTTTACAGAAGTGTCCAGTTGGACTGTGCATGCACAAGAGGTGCACAGTGTTCCCACCTTTGACGTTCGCACGTGCAGCCTGACTCCTCTCAGTTCCTTCTTTGCTGCTGTCAGCTGCTGATGGAGTTCCAACCTGTCTCTTCCTCGTGTCACTTCTGTGAAGGAAAAGAAAGAAAATTAGATAGGTAAATCTGCAATATCTGTTCTGTTAGTTTTTCATTTGTTTAACAAATAGTTTAGAAAAAAGTTCTCTTACTTCAGTTTATATATAGTCAGACAGTTTACCTCTGCGCAGTGCCAAGCCATGGTGAACAAGAAAGAAACAAAGAAATAAAAAACGAGCTTTTACTCATAAGTAAGAGTCACAGCAGCGAGTAGCATAGTCTACCACTTGATGGAACGCCGGGCTCTGGCTTAAAAAAATGCGAGAAATGCTGGGACTCTGCCTGCTTCTGAAGCCCTCGAATCCCATCCGCATAACGGGCAATAAGGGCTCAGATGCGACGTCCCCTTAGGGGAACCTCACAAGTCCCTCACTGCAAAAAGCGCATTCAAAAACAAAGTCCTCACCAGCCCACTCCTTCCCATCATGAATTAGTATGGGAGATGAACCAGGTACCTCTGGCATTCAAAAAGCGCATGCCTGCTCACTAACAGCACGCTAAACAGCCTGAAAAACTGGCTCCTCAGCTATTTAAAAGGGCACCTTCTAAGGACCCTGAATCAAGAAAGGTGCCACTAGCACCAGCGCTATCTCTGGCATGCAGTGAGCCCCCGGCACATCTCTCACATCTGGCTCCGAGAAAAGACAAGGCAAACTCCAACCCTCCTCTCATGGTACAGACTAACCCTAGATCTCCTGGGGTTCCAACAGCATCGATGCCTCCGCTGCTGGCACCAGCAGACTCGGCACCAAGGCATAAAGCATCAAGTCACTGTTATTCCCCAACGTGTGGCAAAACATGCTCTCCATCAATAATTGACAGGAGAGCAAGAACCAGGTCCCCAAACAAGTCCTTGGCACGGCATCACTCAAACTCTCCCTTATCAATGAGAGACTCTTTGCCCTTGCCACACTCACCTATTTTATCACAGTTCAGTGCCTACCGGGGGATACAAGGATTGTGTTCTCTTCACAATACTCATCCCCAAAGAGAGCACATGCATCATATGGGGCACACAGGCTATGACACTCCTCAGTGCCCCCTGTTGCACTCATACTGGCAGTACTAGCCTCAGCTATGCTGGAGGAGCTGCTCCTTTCACCACTGTGATTTCGGAGAGCCTTGCAGCTTAGAAGTCTCCAGTGCAGTGGGAGGAGGAAGGAGTCCCCACCTCCTCCCCAGTAACTGTGTCCCCCTTTAGCTGATGATCCCTTTTGGTCAATTCCATTAGTCATGGCTCCCCATACCAGATTTCACCTGTACAACAATGTTAAGGGGGGGCCCATGCAGGCTGGTTTGTTTCAGTCCCCGCACTCTTCTAGGGACAGCCCATCTTACATGCCACCCTCAATACCATTTTTTGACTTAATAAAATCATCATTTTTAGATTGAAATGTTTCTCAAAATGTTGTCTTTGCCCAAAACAATATATTTTAAATAAGTATAGGAGAAATTTCTGCAGCAATTTAAATAGTAAGTGGTATGAAATAGGAATGTGATAATGTACAAGGTTAAATGGTTAACCAACGAGCCTGGGCTCATTGGTTAACTTGCATGGTTACACACAAAGTGGTGGTGGATTGTGTAGGTAGCTCCCCATGCCCACCTGCTCCCACAGAGACACCTCTTCTCTCCCCCCCTCCCCCCGGACCATGAATGTTGACTGACCAGAAAGTCGACCACAGTGGTTCAACCTGTAGCATGAGATTCATAGACATGAATGCTGGCAGTAAGATATGTGTGCTTTAGCTAGTTGAGATAAGGGCTAGGGATAATAATGGTTAACTGGTAAGCCTCACCTTAATGGGTGAGGCTTACTGGTTCTGGTTAACTGGTGGAGGCTGGAGTAGGTTTCCTCCCCCCCCCCTCACTGCAGGCAGGGATCTGATCCAGCCTGGTGCAGGTGGGGGGCACTCCAAACTGGATGGGGGGGCCCCCGCAGTGGCCCAGCCCCCCCACATCTGTTTAATCAGATAACCAGTTAAACTTAACGTTTAACCGATTAACTTTTTATGTGGGATTTTTACATCCCTAATTGCCCTGTCGAGGTATAACTGAGAGTTAAATGTCACAATCATCCACACTTTGGATAAATTATTTGATTTCAGTTGGGGAGGGGAGTGGGCAACATTCTCTTGAGGAAACTGAAATGCTTTTTATTTTAACTTTCCACAGGATTAGATTTCTTCCCTTTCCTATCAGGAGACAATCAGGTAAGTTGTAGAAAAATGCATAATGCAATGCAAGTTAGTTTTGACTACACCCCTTCTAAAGGGCTGCTGTTGAGCCAGTGTGGAGGTTTTTGTAAAGAAGGCTTTACAAATCTTGCATTATTGCACTCATTTTTGTGTAGCAGAAAGAGAGAGACTGCTCAGATTGCGGGCGCATGTGTTGGGGACCACGGAACTAGACAAACAGGATTTTACACCCCTAATAAGAATTGGGAATTTTATACTAGTAATGCTTCCTCTTATGGAGCAGGTTTCAGAGTTTAATGACAGCTTTTAGAGGTAGCCCCTTCAGCAAAACAATGAGGAGGCCAGAATCACCTTGAAGGCTAACAATTTTATTATGGCATAAGCTTCTGTGAATTGCAACTCACTTCATCAAAGCATGAAGTGAAAGAAAAAGAAACAGACTGTAGGGATACAGAGATGGGAGTGTTACATTAGAGCTAATTCAGTTAAGGTGGATGTGGATAAGAAGGTGAGAATACCTCAAGTGGAAAATTACTTATGATAAGGAGTCATTTCCAATTTCTATGCATGCTCTCTATGCATATGATGAAGTGGTTTTTACCTACGAAAGTTTATGCCCAAATACATCTGTTAGTTTATAAAGTGCCACAGGAATTCTCATTGTTTTTGCAGACTAACATGGCTACTTCTGAGACTAGGGTATATATGTAGACAGAATTGGCAACAGGGTTTGTTGCAGGGATTGATTCCTCGGTTTGTGTTTCTGTTGTGTGGTTGGTCGTGAGTATGTGTTTCTGGTTGGGGGGCTGTCAAGGAGTGGCCTGTCTCCCAAGGTCTGTAAGAGTAAGGGATTCTCATCTAGGATAGGTTGTAGATCCTTGATGATGTCTTGGAAAGATTTTAGCTGGTTGCTGTAGGTAATGCCCAGTGGTGTTCTGTTGCTTTCTTTTTTGGGTCTGTCCTGCAGTATGTGACTTTTGGGAACTTGCCTGGCTCTGTCAATCTGTTTCTTCACTTTCCCAGATGGGTATTGTAGTTTTAAAAATGTTTGATAGAGATCCTATAGGTGTTTATCTGTCTGAAGGACTGGAGCAAATTCATTTTTATCGAAGGGCTTGCCTGGAGACAGTGGATTGTGTGATGTATTCTGGATGAAAGCTGGAGGCATGTAGGTTAAGTATAGCAGTCAGTAGGTTTCCAGTAGAGGCAATATTTGTGACCATCACTTATTTGAACCATAGTGTCTAGGAAGTGGATCTCTTGTGTGGAGTGGTCCAGGCTGAGATCAATAGTGGGGTAGAAACTGTTTAAATCCCAGTTGAATTCTTCAAGGACTTCCTTCCCGTGGGTTCAGATGATGTTGTCATCAATGTAGTACTGGGGTGGGCAATAATTTGATGGGGAGCCACTCCCAAGATTTTGGTAAGTGGTCATACTTTTCTATGGAGGAGGTTGTGAGGTCTGGGATGGAGGTTGGGTGCAGAAGAGAGCTTGGGGTAAGAACTGGGGTGCAGGAGAGGGTGTGAGGTCTGAGAGAGAGATTGAGTAAAGGAGGGGGTTGTGATCTGGGACATAAGCTTGGAAAACAGGGTCTGGGTGAAGGGAATGGGTGCAGAAGAGGATCTGGCCTGAAGGAAGAGGGTGCAGAGTCTGGGAGGGAGCTGTGACCTGGGAGAGGGGGTGCAGAGGTTTTGGGTGGTGACCTGCTGGGGGTGGGGGGGAATGGCCTGGGGCAAGGAGTTGAGGGGAAAGAGGTGCTGAGGTGCAGAGACAAGCTCTGGCGAAGAGGGGCTTACCTAGATGACTCCTAGCCACCAGCCCTGCAGGATCCTGAGACAGGCTCCCTATCTGCAGCAGTTCCAGGCTGCTCAAAATGGCTGGATGTTTCCTGTGGTGCTCTGCTCTGGGTGCCAAGGAAGGCTTTGTGCACTGACCCTGCCTCCTAGCAAAATCTGTCAGCTCCTATTGGCCAGTAATGAAGCTGGGCCCTTGTGTGGCAGGGCTGAAGCCTGAGCCTCATTGCCTGGATCTGAAGAATGTAACTTAATTTCCCAGGGCCTCCTGTGGTATGGGGCCCCAAGCAGTTGCCCTGCTTGCTATTCCTAAGCTGACCCTGCACTCTTCCCCTCCAACCCATTGCATACCTCCCATCCCTAGAGGATAACAATCCCCAGGTTGAGAAACATTGATCTGTGTGAATTGAGCATCCCATGGAAGACCTCTGCATATCATAGAGGGTATGTGTGCCCCTGGTTGTGAACCATTGGTCTGGAACATTAACAGGCCCCTCTGCTAATGGATGTGTGCATCTTAGGTAATTGCAATCATTTTCTTAGAAGCAAGAAGGAAAGCCCAATTTTTACTGAAATGTGAATGAAGCCCTCCTTGAAATCCCCAAAGCCACCACTTAAAAAAAATATTGAAAATGTGTCTGCAGGGGCTTCTTGGCTTCTTTCTATCTTCATTGGGACCCACCTCTACTTTTTTTTCTGGTCTGAATAGAGTATGGACTCTTCAGGACTATCTTAGTGCTGACTGTTCCTTGGCTTCCACTGGAGCCTCATTATAGGAGGCTACAGGAGGTGAAGCTGAGAGGCAGCTAGCAGTTAGTTTATTTTAACAGATCGACAGGGCTCGACAAATAATGTAATCTACTCTCCCGTGGTGAGTAGATTACGACCTGGAAGAGCCGGTGCAGCGCAATCTGCGCGAAACCGCGCAGCTGGCAAACGGGGTTCACTGCCGCTTGGCGAGCCCTGAAAATAAAGGTTATTAAAGCAGCTGGTACAGACGCTGCTGGGATCTGAATACTGAAGTATAATAGCTCCCTTCAGCTCACATATTCTGGGCATTGTTTAGAATTGCATTTAACCAAAACCAAACAGGACTTTATACAACAAAGGTTACAGCTATTCGGGCATATCTGCAGAATGTACGAGAAGCGAAAAGTTAAGACCCTGGTATTCAGCATAATGGATGGTCCGAATAGGAGAGGCAGACCCTACAGAGAATGGGTGATATAGTAGATTGGTGCGGAGCTAGTCTACAGAAACTAAGCTGCCACTCACTGGACAGAGAAAGATGGAAGGAAATAGTGAGGGAGGAATCTGACACCAACGTGCATTGAGCCCATAGTTATTGATGATGATGAAGAGGATTCTCAGGTATTGTTGCAAGGTAAGTGTCTTTCTGTAATTGAGAATATACAGAGTCGTTACTTGTAACACACACAGGCTGAGGACAAAGACCCAAGATGTTCTACTGTGGTAGAAGGCTCAGGCCTTAGTAATCAATAGTTGTTCTTCATGATTCAGGCCACTGAAGGCAGAACATAAAAAGATCTGGAAACTTATCTCAAAGTGCCAACATTATCTGAAGGCTTTCTTTTTAGTGAATAAAGTCTCAAGGAGGTTGTCTTCACTACATAATTTCATTGTATTTAGTTAGCTGGAGTAGTGATAGTTACTTTCAGATTAGTGTAGGCCAGGACAAATTGTGTTCATCTTTGTCAGCTAAACATAGCATGATGTTGAATGTGCTTTATACCTTATCTACCTCCTTTGCTTTTCCTTACCCCTTCCTACCTCCTTCTCTCAGGGTTTAATCATGATTACCTTACCAGCTGAACACAATTTGTTCTGGATTAACAGAGTGCAAAGCCATGATCCACATTGTATCCGCTAACTTGATTCTCTTCAACAGTATTGAAATACAGAAATGTTTTGTAGTGAGGACAAGCCCAGTTAGGAGATGAGATGTCTAATTGGAGTAATAAGTGGCAGTAAATAAGATGGTTCAGAAAGTAATTTAGATACTACCAAAGTATGTGCTGTGTAAATAGGTCAACTTTTATTTCATGCTTAATTTTCTATTTATAAAAATGTTTTCCTTTTTTCCCCCAATCACTCTCTCCTGTTTAATTTTAATAAACAGAAATAATTGTAATAGGAGAGACATAACTCAAATGCTCTCAAAACCAATACCACTGTAATATTAGAAAAGCCCTTGGACTTAAAACCTTACAAAAATAAAAGATTTTAATTTGGGAACAATTCAGTTTAAATTTTCCTTCTAACAAAGAAACACTACAAATTCTTTTGTTAATCTGCTTCTGAGTCTGAAGGAGTTGACTCAGACAGTGTTCTTCCAACAACTCCTTAAAATTTCTTGTCAGACCTGTAGTGAAGCAACTCTCAGTTAATGGTCCTCCATAAAATCAAACACAAATCTTGATACAGATGAAGAACATTAGTACTTAAGTTGGGAGGAAAAGAGTACCCAGGCAGTGTTCCCTCTAAGATTTCCCTCCCAGGAGTGGAGTGAGTTTTCATCTTGTGTACCAACATTGACATCATGTGCACTTGTTCAGATGTGCACCACTGTGGCAATCACCAGTTCCTAACAAAATTATATATATATATATACACACACACACACACACACTTAAATTGTTATACAGGAAAAAAAAATACTAAACCATGGTGTGAGGGGGTTCACTCACCACCATAGCACCCCCTGCCATCTGTCCAAGGAATTAGCTCTTTCTGCTGGCAGGGTTCCTTCCCCTCAGGTGGTGTTTCCCCTCTTTCCTTTAGGCTGCGGCATTCTCTTCAGGACACTGCCCTCCGGCAGTGCTCATGTCAGTCTCTGAGCCCCCCTTCGGGGGTTGTTGTTTCTTCAGTGGGCCGTTCTTCAGGCCCTGCAGTCTGGGGGTTTACTTGGCCAGAGCTCCCCTAGCCCTGCCCTCCTTCCAGCTCCTATTCTCCCAGCAGCCAGGCTCTCACTGCTCTCCCTAGGAGGGGCAGCCCATCCTCTTATATAGCTCCCAGCTGGGCCCTAATCAACTAATGTAGCCTCAGCTGGGGCTAGACTCCCAGGCCCTGCTCCAGGCTGGGGTTTGTCCTTAAAGGGCCAGTGCAGGGCAAACGCCCTGTCACACATGGGACAATTAATAAGGCGCATAACCCTGTAGTACAGGAATCAGGGCAGGGGGTGGGAGATGGCGCTTTTTTTATTAAAAAAAAAAAAAAGTGCCTGTACTCGGAAAAGTTGTTGAGCTCTGACTGGAGGAGTCGGCACAATGTCTGGAGGTGTTGGTACTGCGTACTAGGCAGTACCATTACAAAAAAAGCACTGGTGGGAAGTATGGGGGGGGGCTCAGGTCAGGGGGTGCAGGATTCAGGGCAGGGGGAGTTTAGGATGGGGGACTGAGAGAGGGTTCCTGGAAGGGGGTGGGCCCAGGACTGTGTTGCCCAGTCCCTCAGGAAGCTGCTCACTGAGGGGGGGAGGGGAGAACTGAGCTGGGCTGCCTGACCCATGGGTGGCTTTCAGCTCTTCAGGGGAGGAAGGGCTGGGGCTGGGCTGCCCAGCTCCCTCAACCGGTGGATGAGGGGGGAGCTGGGGCTGTGCTGCCTAGCATGGCTAGCTCCTGGGGTAAGGGGGCCAGGGCTGCTGGCTGGTGTTGCAGCTGAGAAGAGCTGGCTGGTGGTGCATGCTGCCACTTGCCACATGGCTCTGGCCCCTGTTGGGAGAAAGGGCCAGTGGCAAGGCCCTTGGTAGGGGGAGGGAGCCCTGTTGCAAAGGCCCAATGTGGGGGGGAGGAGGGTTAGAGTTGGGGCTGGACCAAGGCTGAACCAGGGCTGGATGTCCCTCTGGCAGCTGCCTGCCCACATGGCAGCTGCCAGAGGGACATCCAGCCCTGACTTGAGCCAGGGTGCCTCCTGCGGGGGAACCCCTAGTCC